CAAATTGGGCTATTTTGTTTTGTCTTGGCTAGGCATAAGCTCTAACAAGGCTAATTTTTCTGATATTCAGCATTAGTTTTTACTTAATAAGGAATTCATATTCAAATATGCTCTTGAATGAAGTTTGGAAAGAAAAGGGCTCTTCAGCAAGACAGATTTTGAGCAACCGAATTTTAAAGAAATGTAGACCAAAAGCCAAGATCGTTGAAGCAGAAAGAGCATTAGTTGGAAAACAAAATCTCATCGTGTGGCAATTTGGAAAGCTTCCTAGTGCCCTCGGCCATTTGTATCCTTTTTTGCATCACGCAACAACTAGCATGATGTAAACAAATTTCGATTGTATGAGCCCTTTGTGGGACATACACAAAAGCTAACTAAGATGGCATAAATTGTTTGATTTTTCTGCAGGGATTCTGACTACAATCTCCTAAAAGCAGAAACCGCATTTGGGGTTTTACCTGTGTGTGAAGAAGAGACTCGAATTTTCCAGAAAGACATTTGATGTTTGTCTTTAATTTATTTCAAACGATGCCTTGTGCTATGTATGCTGACATGTAAGTGCTTAAACACGACTTTGAAATTGTGGGACTAAGTCTTTGGAAGCAAACTTTAATCTGATGTTCTGTGTAAAAGACTTAAAAAGTCATACAGTTGCACAGGTAGTTGATGCACTATTTACTCACAAGGAAAAAATGGAAAGTGGTGTGCCAAACTACCAACAAGCGACTGTACTGTATATATTGAAACTTCTCTATCAACATTTGGTTGTATTGGGGGGGTTTGTCCCTGTTGATTTACTAGAACCATTCCAGTGACTCTTGCTGTTAACCAGCCCTCACTTATGTGGACAGCACCTGTAGACCACAGTAGGAAAACATGTTGTGTTACACAGTTTACTAAAACTTAAAAGAAACGGTTTGACATGTGCCAAAGTTTCTTACCTCATCTCACAGTTTAAGCTCCTTAATTAATCTTAGAAATATTTACATGCATACATACATTGTTTTAAAACTCGATTGTCCTGTCTGAAAACATGAACAGTTAGTAGACAAGGCACAGTGAAGGTTTGTTTGTTTCCTTGTCTAAGGATTACAATGCTAGAAACGTCTGGAAGCTGCAGCTATTCCATCAGCGACTCAGTATGGGCATTTACAGAACCTTTTACAAGTAAACAGAACAGCTGCTTTGAACGTTTGTTTTCTAAAAACAAAATCAGTGGCTGAAAATTATTTAAAGTGCAAAGTTATATTGCTGATACCTTATATCTCAGTTTTATATATCTTACAATCGTGTGGGATAAATTGTACAGGCAACACGAATGATAAATGAAGTATATAGATTACTTTTATTTGAATAGTTCCCTAAATGTTTTATTCCAGTTTTGTCAAAAGTGCACTCATATCACCACTTTAGTGTGCTTTATCTGTTGAATCTTGCAATGTCAATGTCAGTTGAAAAAAATGTTAAGACATCTCAATTCAACCAAATGTTTCTTCCTATCAGATAAGATGTTGTGGTCACAACTAATTTGGGTCATACATACTTAGTCTGAGGATGCCTACGACTTGATGCCACACATTCAACTTATATCTTAATTTTTAAATAAATAGAAAATATCGCTTTTAAAATTTAGCCTCCCTCACTTTCTAAGAAATTCCCAATTCCAATATCCCTCACTCCAAGCCTTTTCTTCCCCTCTGTTCACCGCTGGGCGTCTAACCTTTGCTCTAGCTCCAGTGCCCAGCTGAAGGCCTAGGGGTCTGGTGACTGACGCCCTTCTGGCACAGGCGAGAGACTGGATGTGAAAGCACTTTGTAGATCATGAAGTGCTATACGGATAGAAGGGATTAATATAATGACTACTGTTGCTTGTCGTCGTTGTCACTCTTACTAGTCGTACTAATATTGTTATTACCCTCTTAACTAGGGAATAGATAGGCTTGGGAAGGGAGGGTCGAGAATAAGTGGGTGGGGGAAAGGATTTTTAAAAAGGGGAGATGTTTCCAAAGGGAAAATTCAACCAAAATATGGACCTATGTAGTCATCATGACTAAATATATTCACAAATAAAAAAGCAACATTTGAAAATAGAAAGAAATGGAAGGAAACCAGTCACATACATAAGTATGCACACACTTCCCCATCCACGATTCCTTTCGCCAGTCTGTTCTCCTACTTCTAAATGAGTAGTGAAGTGAACAGTCTTGTGTTCGTTTGGGTATGTTCTCAGCATCCAGCTCTTGTGTCTGTGGGGAGGAGTGAGCGTGAAGTTCTTCGTGAGGCCCCTTCCTAGACTTTGACATGCTCTGGGCAGCGAGTCCTGGAAAATGACGTAGCGGAAAGTGACCAGATGAAACATGTCTCCTGCTCTACAGCTACCAGCCAATGGGGGAACTAGCCCAACTGGAAAGCTTTCTTCTCTGTCCGATAGCTAGCTGTTTGTACTAAATGCTCTTTGGCTGGTTCCTGGGAACTGGTCTTTCTTCTGTTGTTGTTGGTTCTGTTTGCAGCTGGATTTTGGAGTCATCAACTCTGCCTGTACCTGGGCTTGCCAGGGCTCTAGACCTCATGTGGTCACCTGCTGGCCTACAGAAATGGAGTGAGTTCTATGTAGTTGAGAAGGGGAACGTGGCAATGAAAGACGAAATAAAGGATGTGTTCGACGAGTACACTGTGTTTTTATAAAAGTGGGAACAATTGTGGAAGTTTTTCTAAGTATTACTTAAGCTTTGGAGTAGACATGGGATAGGAGGAGCTTTCGGAAGCCATTTCCTTGTCGGAGCTTGCTGGTGGGCGTCCTTTGGAGTGGATACTCCTTCGGTTTGGAGCACCCTTGTTGCCAAAAAGAATCAGCAGTTTCAAGTATTTTTTTGATCGGCCTGTCGTGCATTCTGTGTTGGTTAGCCTATGCCTTAGTGACTCGCGTTACAAAGGCACAGGAAGAAACCGAGTTTTGAAAGAGCAACGGGACAAGGACTGAGGGCATACGGTGCTTATTCTCCTGACCACAATCATCCCTCTCAGTATGTGTTATATAGTGAGCTAGTCAGCTTTTAGGGTCTGGTGGTTCCTCCTCTGCTCTCACAGTTCTTTCTCTTCCTGTCACAACATAATGAACTTCTGGAGATCCCTTACTCAACGAGCTGCTTAGTGGAGTCTTAGCAAAACAGTAAGTACTCTGCCCTTTCGCAGATATCGCCAATCAGAAATATTGAATTTTCCTTGGTCTGAAATTCCTGATTACCACTACTTTCTAACTTCTCTCTGAGAAGTAACTGCCTATGATGCTTTCCCAACGGGGTCCCATTTACTCTTTAATTTCTTGGAAATGGTAGCCTCCCTTATTCTTCTTACTTGGTCTGAGAATTTGTCTTCTTTTCTGGTCATATATTCTTACTTTCTCCCCAAATAAGAAGCCCTTAGCCAGGCTATTCTCTTCCTGAAATTCAGGGTTGAAACTTTCCATTCTCAATTACATTTTGTTTTCTTGCCATTTATAAATTGAGTTTTAAACAGGCATCCACCCGTGCAAGAGTGATTGAGAAGCTGAAAGCTCCTTTGCTTGGAATGTCTGTAAGAAAAGCCCTGCTCTCCTGTCTTCCCTGCTCAGGGCTGTGAGCTGGGTGCTGAAACAGTGGTTCTTCAGGACCTTGGAAGTTGTGTTTGGGGCTTTGATAACTGCGTTGATCCAGGGGCCAGACACCCTGCCTCTTCAGGGTCACATACCAGCTTCCTCACATACACTGCTCTTATTTGTTCGTTGTCCTTTTTGCTCTGTACAGTAATGTGCTAAGGCCTTATTTTTCTCAACGGTTTTCAAAGCTCTGCACTACCTTGACCACCACTTCTTCAACCATCCCCTTTAAGTTCTTGGTGCTAGATGGACTTTCACTTTCTCGGATCTTTTTACTTTCTGGGAAACATCTGTGTGTGGGTGGCGGGGTGGGGGTGGTTTGCAGGTGTATGTATAAGAGAAAGAAGCCTAAAGGGTGCTTTGCAAGTTGCAAACAAGTCTGGCTAGCATCCTGTTTCTTTTGTGTGTGTGTGTGAGATTTCCAGTTCTGGTGAATTTCTGTTGTAGTGAGTTCTGATTAGTGTTAGCTGCCTAAAGGAGAAAAACCATATCGAAGGACCTCTTAACCAAGCATGCCCTTACTAAGCTGTGCAGTCTGATCTGGATTCACTACATCTTCTGCTTAAAGGTGTTCTCAGAGCTGTTCCAAGAATTTAAGAGAGCTAACATTGGTTAAAGTGCTTGATGCTAATCTAAAGGTCAAAGGTTCAAAACCACCAGCAGGTCCATAGAAGTAAGATGTGGACATCTGCTTCCGTAAAGAGTTACAGCCTTGGAAACCCTAAGGGGGGTGCTCTATTTTGTATCATAGGCTCACTGTAAGTTAAAATCAACTTGACGGCAGGAAGTTTGGGTTTTGTTAGTTTTGTGTTAAGGTTTCTGCACTAAAGAGATGGGACCCCTGGTTGCTTAGTGGTTACACATTGGGCTGCTAACTGGAAGGTCAGCAGTTTGAAGCTACCATTCGCTCCAAGGGAGAAATACTGGCTTTCTACTCCCATAAACAGTTAGAATCCCAGTAACTCCCAGGGACAGTTCTAGCCTGCCCTATAGGGTCGCTATGAGTCAGAATCGACTTGATGGCAGTGCGTGTGGTTTTTTGTGAGGTTTTTGTTTTTGTGTTTTTGTGGCATTAAAGAAAAGAATGCAGAACTAGCTAGTCCTGATGAGGGCTAGTACTAGAGATGCTTGTTTTCTCTGATATTACTGAGAAATTATCTAAGGGGATTTAATTTTTGTTTAGGGATTTTTTAATGACTGCCCATTACTACAGAAATAAATCCTTTAATAAAGTAAGACTAATGTGAAGTTTGTTTTCTAATGATGAAATTAACTAAGCTTATCGTCCTGTTTAGAAGGTTTAGTATTGAAACCAAACATTTAGTAACAAATAGGGATCTTGCCAACATAATGTAGGCCAGAGATTTTGTAAAACTTTCTCAAAGGAAAAAAAATATGAGGAAAAAAATGACTGGGCTGTTTAACTTCAGAAACACTGTCATCAGCTTGAGATTATTTTGATGACAGTACTCAGGCTACCCTTTAAGGCACATTTTTTTACTCAGAGCATTTTTATTTTAATTGAATAACTACAGGCATGAAGCAGAGCTGCTACTGCAGCTGTGATGATACTTGAGATTAACTCCTGGTTTCATAATCATATCTAAGCGGTAAAGGACGGTGTAAAAAGAGAGGCTGAGGACAGCACTTACGGTGTGAGTCAGGCTTTTAAAATCAGTCCCTGGGTGAATAAGAGACACTAACAATGGTGGAGAAACAAACGCATCAATACGAGATGGAAAGGATATCTGTTGTCTGATAAATAGGCTCAGGGGGTCCAAGCCTTAGAGTGACACTCTATTCCAAAAAATGAAAGGAGATCATTAAATCATTCTGCCTCTTTGAGAGGGATGTCTGGCTTTACAGCACAAAGAACCGGCTTACAATGAAAAGTAGAAGAGGCCTTCGGTTTTTGACCCCAGGAAGGAAGGTAGAAAGCTTAAGATTATGTTACTGGGATACCTGTAGCACTGACTGGAGTTTACTGCCTACAAAGTTTTGAATGTACTTGTCCTTAATTTAATTTCCATAGAACTAAGTGCACCTCTTTAGTAAGTTACTGATTTATGGTGCTAAAGAAAACAATTATCCTTATTTTTTTTCTCTCCTCCAAACACCTTAATCATTTAAGAAAATTTAAAATAAAGATGTTAGAGGTCTTTTTAATGAATGTAACCTAAGTTTGTGTTTGACATATAATACTGCAACTTCAAAATGTTAGGAAATGTTTTGCCTTTTTCTTTTAGAGTTAAGCTTTATAAATAATTTGTAGAGTCAATTGAAGTATGAAGCTTCAGGATCACTCTTAAGACGCCTACAAAATCTTGTATATTTTTAAGAGTGCCAATTTGTAATATATTTTGTAAGTGTATATTTTTCTTAGAAAAGTGATGTGAAGTGTCTGTATGTGAGAGTTTTCCTTTTTCTGCACTACTAGGTGCTAATAAAAGGATATTGACTTCAAAGTTTCTGGTTTTAGAAACCACAATACAATGAACAAAGTACATTTTGTTGGAAATTTCGTAACACAAAATACGTTGTGAAAGAGTGTAGTGATACTGTGTAAAGGACCACGAACATTTGTGAGCTTGCTGTTTTATAGATTTTCTTGTAAATTATTCTTGTAACACCTCTGGTTTTGTTGTTCTTGTTGCAAAGGTTTTAAATATTTGTGACTTGAGTGTATGGTGAAACTGTCATAATGTTACCTAGCTGAGTTTTGTTATTGTTTATGAAATAAATAAAAAGTTTAAAATACTGCTTTAGAATCATATGTGATAGAAATCAAGCCATTTCTAATTACATTGTATGTCCCAAATAAAATGTTATTCATTGTCTAGAGCAGTGTTCCTCAAACTATTTGTGGTTAGGGACCAATTGCTTGTCCAGTCCAGCATAGACCAATGCTGCTATAAAACACAATATAAATGCATTTCTAAACAAGTGAAATGGAAGTAAAATATTTAAAGTAGAATAGATTCAGTATATAAATTGCATTTCAAGACAAACATAACGTCTTCAGATACCACATATCTGTTAAGAATTTGATATCCAAAATGTATGTAAAACTTTACAAACATAACAACAAAAGGACAGGTGACCCAATCATAAAATGGACAAAAGATTTAACGAGGCGATTCATTAGAGAGGACATTCAAATCACTACCAAACACATGGAAAGATGCCCAACGTTGTTAGCCATCAGAAAGATTTAAAGAAGAAAGGAAGAAAACAAGTAACAAAAATTGGTGATGATATGGGGAAGTTGGATCTCTTGCTGGTGGGAATGGAAAGTACTACAAATGTTGTGGAAAATAGTCTGGTGGTCCCTCTAAAAACAAAAATAGAACTGCCCCTCCTATATGTTGTTGTTGTTAGGTGCCATTGACTCGATTCCAGCCCGTAGCAATCCTGTGTACAACACATGAAATACTGACCGATCCTGTGTACAACACATGAAATACTGACCGATCCTGTGTACAACACATGAAATACTGACCGATCCTGTGTACAACACATGAAATACTGACCGAGATGCCGCGCCACCCTCACAATTGTTCGTATGTTGTAGCTCATTGACGCAGCCACTGTGTCAATCCATCTGGTGGAAGGCCTTCCTCTTTTCGAGTGCCCACCAGTCATGGTGGCCTTCTCCTGGAGAAGGACATCATGCATCCTCACAATATGACATATCAGTTCCACACCTAGGCATATATATCCTCAGAGGACATGAAAGCAGAGACTCGGGGATGTGCACATCAATGTTGATGGCACATTCGTCACAATAATACAGAAAACTTGACGCAACCTAAATACCCACCAGTGGATGAATGGATACACAGAATGTGTTTTCTCAGTAGTTCCCAGTCACAAGCAGTAAGAGAAACACAGGAAGGATCGCTTATGGTGTGCCGATGAACCAATTACAGTGATGGGAAAAATTGCATTGCATAAAGGTAGGGTTGCACACCGGATTAACTTGTACCCTTTTAAAAAGTTGAATTGGCAAGAGTTGTGTGGTGATAATATATTTACCATAATAACAAACGAGAGAAAGATAGAAAGCTGCCAACGCTGCTTTTGTACAACCAAACACCATATGGGATTTAGTTTCTTGGTTTGGATATTTAAAGTCAAGGTTTATGGGGCACCCCAATTAATCAGCCTAGTAACGTTTTCAGTGTTTCTGCTCCACCTCTTAATTTGACGTGGCTTAAAAGTTTGTAAGCAGCCATCCAAGGCACAACAATGAGTCTCTATTTCCCTGGCGCCACAGAGAAAGGACAGTGACGAGAAGGAGGATATGGAATGTGCGGCTGACTGCCCCCAGTAAACTCATTTACCATGAGATCAGAAGAAATGGATGGTGTCCAACTACCATTACTGATCGTTTTAATCAAAGATTCTATAAAATAATCCTGATCAAGGGTGGGGGCGCTACAGAACATAATTTCAAATTCTTAGGGAATCCAGACTTTGTGGAGCCATGATGGGTGAGTGAAACTCTGAAACTAATGACCAGATAGCATCTTTAAAGCATACATGTTCACATTTGAGAAGTCTTAAAATGAAACAATAGTTTTACTTGAGAGGTTTGTGCTCTTTCAAAATCAGGCTAAATGGACTCAAACTGACAATGGCCAGGAAGCGTAGGGAAGCAGTGAGTTTGTGTTAATGGGGTAGGAACAGCTGAGAAAATTTGACTACGAATGATTGCACCGCTAATGAATGTAATCAATGTCACTAAATTATACACGCATGGAAATGGTTGGGTTAGTGTATGTTCCACTCTGTATATTCTCAACAAAAACTAAATTATTAAAAGGAATGACAAACATAACTTAGGGAAGAATAGAATACTCTGATACTCTCTTTTAGACACAGCCATTGATTGATGTGAAATTACAATAGAAGACCCTGACTCTGCTTTTAGTAGGAACAACAGTGTTGCCATCATACGGGAACTTGTTAGGAATGCTGAATTTTAGGGCCTATACCAAAAATACTGAGACTTAAATTTAGCAAGATCCATAGAAGATTTGCATGCTTGTTAAAGTTTGAGAAGCACTGAACTAGAATTTTGTGTAGTGAATTCTCTTGTCCATCAGATTGGGAAATGATTTTCTAGTGTGGCCAGTCTTCAAAGACCGAAGAACAAATGGTGTCCTTATGTTGTGGTCCAATGGGTTCTGCAGAGATGTAGTCCTTTTGAAGTGTCAAATCTATTTATTGAAAGTAATAAATGCTGATTTGCCTGGTACCCCAAAGGTATCTGATTTTACATAATGACCTGTAGTTCCTACATCATTTTACTCATCACTCACTTATATACACTCCTGAAATCAAGACTTTCCCTAACTCTAGCCTTGCTGTGCCCAATATTTGAGTATTTGCTGTGTCTAGGAAAACTATACTTTGCCTTCGAGTGCCTCGACCTGGCTTGTCACAGTACTGTCATTATGGCACATTCAAGCCAACAGCCAATTCCTTGATTTTGAATATCATTATTCAAAGAAATGAAAAAAATATGCATGAGTAATGTTCCTCTGTTCTCACCGGATGATCTCATTGACTTCTGCTTCACCCGCCAGCTCTATTACTAGGGCCCGGATCTATATTTCCCAGTGTAAGCTGACCATCTCCTTGCAGGCATTCCTCAAGTTTCCCAGACTTATTCAGGAAGATGATTTAGCATCATCATCGTTGTTGTTACTAAGACTTACTTACTCTTCAGGACATTTTCATTATTATTACTGCCAGTTGCCATGTAATCAATTCCAACTCATGTGTGTCAGAGTAGAGCTCCATCAAATTTTTAGTGATTGATATATTTGACATCACTAAATTGTGCACCTGGAAAATGTTTAATTGGCAAACGTGTTTTAAATAGATAGCTACACACACACACACATACACATATCT